TCTTTGCCTTCAGTGAGTGGACAGTGCCCCTGAAGTGGTAAAATATACATAAAACAAGGAAGAATGTCACAGCAGCAGTCGATGCCGACATGTTCAGGTATCTGAGAACCAGAGACCTGTCTTGCATGGCCCTTCCGGCTTTGCCACCATCTTGGAAGGAAGGAGGAGAGCTGGGAAGGTCCTGGGAGAACTGGCCACCCCAGCCCCAGCAGGAAGGCCTCGGATTATTCACTTTCTTGCCTTAGAAGGCTTTGCAGGCGTCCCCAGCTGTCTGGCCACAGTTCTGCCATTGGGACCCCTTCCTAGCGGAGACTGAAAGAATTGGAGGGGGCCTTCCATCTCCTCAAGAAACCCTGGTGGCACAGTGATTAAGCACTCAGCTGCTAATCAAAAGGTTGGTGGTTCAAACCCACCAGCTGCTCCATGGGATAAAGATGAGGCAGTCTGCTTCTGTAAAGATTTACAGCCTTGGAAACACTCTGGGGCAGTTCTACTCTGTTGTATAGGGTCACTGCGAGTTGGAGTCATTTTGACGGCTATGAGTTTTTTTGTTGGGTCTCCTCAGGAGCCAGAGCACTTAGAATGGTTGGAGCATCCAGAAGGTAGAGAGAAAAGCCAGGCTGGGACCTGATATTCCCCAAGGTCACTCAGCCAGAGGGTTGAGCCATTGTGTGTGTGTCCCAGTGATAATGTGACTTAGAGTGATTCAGCTGCGTCTGTATCTGTTCAGCTGACTAGCAAATAACGAAATAAATTAATCAGGTTGTGAAATCTCTGGTCTCTTCTCGAATTATGTGCTTATTCATTCCTCAAACGTGTCCCTACTAGGTGCTAGAGTCCCTGGGTGGCACTTGACTACTAGCCAAAAGGTTGGCAGTTTGAACCCACCCAGAGGCACCTTGGAAGAAAGACCTGGAGATCTACTTTCTAAAAATCAGCCACTGAGAACCGACTCACAACAGATGGGGTTATTATGAGCTGGACTTGACTTGATGGCAACTTTTTTTTTTTTTTTAAACTATATGCTAACATGGTACTAGGTGCTGAGGTTTAAAGATGCATAATACATGAAGTTGCCCTGGAGGGCATGATACTTTGAGGGGTGACCAAGCTCTGGTCCCACTGCTAGACAACTGATGAGGTCAGCCTTGGCCACCAAGGTGCAGGCAAGCTGAGGGGTTTCAGGCGAGTCTCACAGCTGAACTAACCTGTCTCTTCCGCTGTTGTTCAGCCCCTCTGAAATCAGGGGTCCCATCTTGTGGTTGGCAGGGGCATATCTTGATCATAGGAGTGGGGCTGGTTGTATCCTAGGCCTCTCCCCAGCAGGAGAGGGGTAAGCAAAAGGTGCAAAGGGTTGGAGAGAGAGTGCCCCTGACTGGCCTCTGGGGGTGGTCCCATGATCTGAGTTCACAGATGCTTGATCAGTTGTGCTGACTCACCGAGAAGTGAGACAGTGGGGGCCCAGCACCCCTGTAAGGCTGGCTGTTTAGGGCCCAGCGAGTTAAGGCTTCGGCTTAGAGTCTGGACCTTGTGTTGGCTGCTCTCCACCAGTCCCCTGAAGCCAGAGAAGGTAGCGTGGTCATCTGAGGGGCTGCTCCCGCAGGTGCAGATGGAGGCAGGACAAACGGGGCAGTGGCAGGGAGGCAGTCAGCACTGGGGCTAGAGCCCTGTGTGAGGCCTGGCCGAGGGTCTCCCACCTCAGCAGCAGCCTTCCCGGCTCTGCTCTCTAATTTCCACCAATACTGAGCCTTGCTTAACGGTGGGGAGGGGCAGGTCTTTAATCACCTGGGGCCTCGGTTCTTAAATGCACACTGTTAAAGTTTCACAAGTAGCTTCAAAGCCAAGGAAAGAAGGAGATGAAAGCTGGTTGACCCAAAGCGTCAGGCAGTGTGGCCTGGGGGAAGGAACTCTGGAGCCAGACAGACCTGAGTGTAAATACTAGCTCTGTCCCTTAGTGGTAGCATAACCTCCGGCAAGTTCCTTAACCAGCCGGCTTCATTTTCCTCACCAGCAACGGGATACATGGACCGGGGAGAGTAGGCAGAGCGCACATGCAGTCACATGGCCTCCTTCCCCCTCGTCTTTGCTTTTCCCGGCCAGCTCTTTAGGTGTGTCCTTCCCAGAAGCATATCTATGGAAAATAGCTCCTATGGCAATTAAGTTGCTGCATGATCTCTCACAGCTGACAGTGGAAACTGTGATGGCTAACAGAAACTGCCCGTTGGTGCCCCATCCCCAAGTGGCGCCCAGGGCACGTGCCACACCTGCCATATCGTAGATAAACCTCTGGTCCTTCCTTTTCTTCCTGGTGTCCACCCTACAAGCACACTCCTGGCAGGAAAGAATCTGGTAATCTGTACATACCTTGGCTGCTACTTGCTTGCATGCCTTTCTGAGGTGCATTTGCATTATAAACATACAATGTTGTCCCCCCACATACACACAAAAAGAGATTCTATGTTTGTGTAAGGAAAAGCAGCTGCTGTGAAGGACTTTCAGGCCTCCCTTAACAGTCTTGTCAC